AACTCTGCGGCAAATGCAGCAGCATAAATATAACGGCAACAATAAAACTACTAAATGAATCGAATTTTGCATTATTCATGGAACACATCGAAACTACATTCGACGTTTCTGCCCTCTCCACGGGGAAGAAATCGTTCGTAGCGCGTCGCCAGAACGGCCCAGGGGAAACCGTGCCGCTTTCCTAGGTGAGCGTCACGCGTTGTACTTAAGGCCGCTTGGCGACGAACGGGGACGAAGCCAATGCGATTGCAGACACGCTTTCATTGGAACAACGGCTTAAATCTTCCGGTACGCATGAGCACAGCAATTTGTCATGGCTGCCTTTATGTAACGAATAAGGAGTGCATCCCAATGAATGCAAAATTTCAGGCCTAAGGCAGTTGAGGCGGCGCACTTGAGATGCAGCTCGCTTGCCAGCACTCCCAGAACCGTCAGGAAGGGGAACGACAGTCCAGATGTGGGTCCAGAGAATGTGATCACTTTATCCTGATCAAGGCGCAAAGTGTGAGATCAGCCGACGGGGTTGTAGCGAACGCAGTGCTCCTCGCAAAATTTCCAGACTGCGCGTGTCGACAAGGTAAGGCCAACATTGGCGCTAGAATGCCAACAAGAAAGATACTTTTGTTGCTGCCAATGTCGAGGATTCTGAAGTTTCGTGCAGGTGTGTACCTTGATAGCAATGCGAAAAATGCCCTCACATGCGCATCCCCATGCCTATTTATGCGTAATTTTGTCCCCAAGAGCTCACATTTCAAAATGGTCAAAGGTTTCTTTGCTTCTGCCTTTCGCATTTTGTTGAAAACAGCGCCAAGGCTGTGACAAAACAGGCTGCGGCCCGGCTCCAGCCACAGGCTTCCATCCTCTGTTTATTGTTTGAAATTGGCTTCGACCAGACAAAACTGTGCCTTTGCACCATGTAAGGCGATGACGGGCGCGCACACACCCAAGAGCTTTGTATGCCGCGCACATAAATACTCCAGCCACGGGCGATTTGCGGCTCACCTTCCAGACGAGCAGCTTGTGGATAGCGGCGCGGATGGCCTTGAAGTGCCTGGTGACCAGGACGCACAGCGAATGGGGGCTCCTGTCCAGCGACATCGCAACACCGCCGTCCACCTCCCCGCGCGTCCAGTCCCTCGCCTCTTCCTGGCGGGAACGCCAAATTGACCCCAATCAAACCCACAAATTGGGATGAACCCTGCCGTGGCAACACCGCACGGGCACCCTACACGCCATACTTGGTGGCGCCCGATCTCAGCCACAGGCCCCAAAGCCGCCCCGGTCCCTTTGCCGCATTGGGTAGTGAGGGGCGGGTACTGCGGTGGTCGCACCGGAACGCCAACCCTTCAGCGCAGCGCGCCGGCCACGGCGCCTTGAGCTTCCTCCGTTCGGCGTTCGCGGCCGATCTTTTGGCGCAGCGATGTCCGCGCAGCTCGTGAATGGGCTGTGGGGCCGCCCAACGGTGGGTTCGGCGTGCCAGAGGGGCGGGCAGGCGCAGGGGCGCTTCGTGGGGAACGATACGGCCAGCAAGGCGGCGATGAAGTCGCGGACGTGCCTGGTGGAGGTGGGGCGCAGCTCAGGGGATGCGGTGAATCGCGATTTGGGGGCGATGCTGCTCGGGCTGGCGAACGAGGGTTGGCGTAAAGGGGGTGGGTGGGCAGGGGTAAGATTTGTTACCAAGAGAGAAAGAAACGGGCCATACAAAGGGGCCCCCTCCTAAGCAAGTGTATGCGAAACTCCTTTCCATGCTCTTATAAAGATGATATGGAGCCTCCGATGCAAAATGAGGGGCACACAACGCAAGCAACGCAAGAGGTAACGGGGGGCGCGAATGGCCTCTTGGGTGTGCGTTCGGGAGCCTCGCGGGTCGGTGGCGATCGCTGGCCGCGTAGTGACGCTCTGGTTACGGCGAAGTTGCGCGGCGTTCGATGCCCCATTGGCTCCGCGCTGGGCGAAGGACACAGCCGGTCATGCTGGGAGCGCGAGTGTGGGGTTGATTGCGGTTTGTGCTGCTTTGTGTTGCGTGATTTTGAGTGATGTGGATGCGCTGGTTGGTGTCGGCCTATCGCCGTGCACCCTCTCACAGGAGGCTTGTGTTTGTTTTGTGTACTATTTTGATTCGTGGATTGTCTTTCGCCAAGGAATTTGGCAAACATGCTCCCAATAAACTGGGTTTGAGATGGAAGTGTGCCCGTCATCGTCTCCCAGATGGGAGGGCGACACTTTGCAGGATTGTTGGCAAATGTGGGGAAAATCGATTTCCCATCTCCTTCCTTGCCAGCTCTTATGGAATTGAGAACTGGGTTGCACGTTGCTGAAATGTTGACAAATTCATGTACCCAAACTGTTGGCAGTGGCAGTTCTTGAAACAGGAATTAGATCCTCTGAGCTCAGTAGAGACATGTGCCATGACTTGTGTGTGTCGTCTTCTCAATGCACTTAGTCATTCCGTCCTCCCCATGCCAGGTGATACCTGCAGAGTCAGAGCCCACTGAAGTGACGTTCAAGAAGTTCTCTTCAGCAGTTCGACGGACAGGAATGTATTTCGAGGTGGGAACCAGTGCAGAAAGCTTGCTGTGCACAAATGCAGCACCCTGGGAACGAATGGACAAACAGCTGGGTGCCGAGGTCTTGTCAGGATGGTCCAGATCCTGTTCTGATGGTTTGGGGTATTTAGGTAGCACTATAGCTTATGTGCGGCGTCTATGCAGAAGGCAATGCTTCGTCCAAAGCTAGTTATATCGAAATTGGTGCACAAGCCAAATTGTATTGGTGGGCTGTTCTTTTGCATAGCATGGTGTAGCAGCAGTTTATTGTCCTGACTCCAACAGTTGTAAATGCGCCAGCCTTTCTATATTCTGATATCAATGACCATTGTGGGGACATGAGGGACTGGAGGACATTGTGTGCGGATTCACAGGTGAGGAGGCGCCAGCGTTTTGAATGCAAGCAGGACAGGATCAAGCGGAAAAGGAAGGAGAAACCGCTGAAAAAGAGGTCAGTGTGGACAAATTGTGGTCAGTGCTGTTCGTTGGTGTTCGTTAGTGATGATCAAACGATTAATCGGACATTTTTTAATTGATCAGTTTGGCTATTCCAGTGATGATTCAATTCATTCATTTTGAGGCTATCTGCCAGGGCTGGGCAGTGTGGCATTTGACGGAATGCCAAGCATGTCCACTAGGCGTTGTGCTTGTCCTGCAGTTGGATGGACAATCGAAGGAATTCAGCACATGTCCAGTTCCGATGCGCATTGTTCCTTGATGTTCATTATCTTAATCCAAGAAAAGAATTCAAGAGGATGCCTGCAGTGAGAGATGCAGAGACCAGAGCTGATAAGCACAGTACTGACTACCAGATATGTGCTTGGCTGGTGGATCTCTGGCCACATAAACTTGTGATACAAGCCATGACCTGCCAGCATTGCTCAGAAATGATGTGTTGTGGACAATTTGGGTGCTGTGTGTGTGCAAGAGGAGGGGGCAGGAAAGCTCTCATGCATGCCACTGCTTTGAAAATCGATGCATGCTGTTCTGCACTGAGTCTGACCTGCCCTTTCCCCCATCCACCCACCCACCCCCCTTTTGTGGCTGCTTTGGTATTCAAGGTGGTGCTGAAAATAGGAAAACCAGCTACTGTGGTTTGGAACTTGAAACATAAGTTGCATGTGTGCAGGATAAAGTACATACCAACGTTTGCAAAGGCCTCTGGGAATCTAGGCTCGAGTGTGCCTCCTTTTGCAGACCTTTTTGACAACCCAGAAGATGACATTTTTGCGGAGGTGGGCAGTTGCGATGGCAATGTTTGTAGAGCTGTTGCTGTCCAGGAAGTCATACTGATCTTGGCAAGCATTCTCACAAACTGGATGCATTGTGTTGCAATTACACCAATGATTGCTGAAGCCGAGGTCGGTTGCTTGTTGAGCAGTCTGTCATGAAATGCGTTGGTACTCTGTCAGACCAAAGTGCGAAGGAAGTTGCATTTTGAATGGATTCATTTCGAGCTGTTGCCTTACCTAAAATGCAGACCTGCTAATTTTGCTCCAAGAAATGCAGCAGTTAAGTGGTTCTGTGGATCTTGTGCTGGCAAGAATCTTAAAGGCCAGCTAAAAGCCGATATCCAGAACTTTGTGAGTTGATCGCGGTTGCTTTGTGGAGAAAACCTCAAGAGGCGATGGGGAGAAACCAGAATTCCGGAAGTCTCAGTTGGCGGCAGACATAGCGGAGTATTGATGATATCTGTTACTTTTCGATGGCAAGTCCACCTTTGTGCCACTTGCTTGTGACTTGTGTTTTTAACCCATTCCAAGCTGTTTGCCCCAGTCACAGGAACCTTGGGCACCACCAGGGGTGCACAACCCTGACTCAGATGCTGTGGCACCGCTGCTGTGCTTGTGTGGAATATGGTACTCTGTGTAGATGCCTACTCATAAATGTGCTAACTTGGTATATTTCTGTCTGTCGACATCGTATCAAGTCAATCATGTTTACACATGTGTGTGTTCAGATGCCAGCGTCTGGTCAGCAGACCACAGGGCAGCTGGGAATTTTGCCTGAAATGTTTGAGTGTGGGAACCAAACACTTCATCACAGTCAGGCTGTTTTCCTGCAGTGTGCTTATCGTGGATATTGGAAAGGGTGGTCATTAGCCCGAAGGATGCGTGTGTTTACCTCTTCCATTTTTGCGTCTTTGGGTTGAGGACTGAGACGTTGTGTGTAGGCCCCAAGGTTCGGATCCCGCAATGGCAAGGGCCGCCAACAAAGAAACGACAGGAGACAATACCAGCCCCCTGCTGACAGTAGCCAGGAAGACCCTGATCAGGGCCTTGAGAAGGCACAGTTGGCAGGTGTGACGGAAAGTGAGGGCTCTGAGTGATGTGAGCGGGATGGGCAGAGGGGGCGTCCGAGGTGACGCAGTTCAGATGCTGGTGTGATCCTGGGTCCTTCTCAGCATCTGCCGCGTACGAGAGTGGTGCATGAGATAACCTTTGAAAACCTTGCATGACATTGACCTGGCGTTGGTTGGTGAAGCACAAGGTCGATCGAGCGTTTTGTGTGTCAAGATTGTTGCAGACTTATCATTCGGTGGGCACCCATTCTGAAGTGCCCGCCATCGCCATTGTGGTCCAGATGCATGGGCACTGTCGTGCTCTCAGAGCAAATGTAACCCAAATTGGGCAAACTCATGGTGGAATATGGATCGTTACTCTGTCACATTCCACAGCAGAAGGTGAAATTCCTTCGATGCGAGAGGTGTGGAATGCAGCAGGGCCCATTGTGAAAGGGCATGTTGCTGTCTTGTGTCCTTGTGTATGGGACAGCATCAAAGCAGGTATGTCCGTTGGGGGTTCTGGTGATGGTGCTGGAAGTTGGAATGCATGCACATGGCTGTTGTTGGAGGGATTGAAAAGTTCACGGATTTAGATAGACACACTGTGCTTGATCGCAGATGGAGGCAGGGAACCATATGATACAGAGCCCTGGTGTGGCTACAGCCGAGCCTTGTCGGTCTGCTTGAATCATCTGCATGCTCGCGTATGATAGATTTTACATTTCCAAACACATGCGGTGCCAATTACCATGCGCAACCTGAGGGTTCCCACTTAATTGTTCCCTTTCACTTTGCCACGAGTTACTTATGCGTGACTCATCCCTGTGTCAGTCCCCCTTATCCCCCACTTCACTCCCTCACCGCCTCCCACATGTGACCGAACTTCACTCTCTCTGGGCTGGCAAGGCATATGCCGAACAAGACAGAGTGCGGAACAGAGGGAAGGAACCCGCCAGCCTCCACACACACAGACACACACACCCGAGCCTGGCATACTCCAGTCGCGGCAAACCTGGAAATTGGCACCAAGGCGGTAGCTGGCCAGAAACACTAGGCAATACCGAAACCAAGGTGTAGCGCCAGAAATGGCCCGTGCGAATTTGCGCCACTGGCCACCCAAGAGGAGGCTCTATATCATCCTTTCACAGCATGGAAAAGAGCTTTGCATACATTTGCTTGGCAGGGGGTGCCCTTTGTACGACCTGTTTCTTTCTCTCGTTACAAAACTTAGGGAGGACACTATTTTGAATTTGGCACGTTTGGTTTCAATGTGACGTTAAGCTCAGACCCCCCTCCCCCTCCCTTAGTGTCGATCCTTATTTCGATTCCGGGATGATTCAGTGACATTGCCTAACAATGGCACACAACTTCGTAATAGTTTTAAGGGAAGAAAAACGTCTGAAATTGTGGCGATTGCAGTGATTTGAAAAATACGATGCCAAAACCATAATAGGCGATGAAAGCAGCCAGCCCCAAAGCCTAAAACTAGTCAAGTTTTAGAATTAATCGATGGTCAATTCTAGGGGCTTCCTCGAAGATGGAAAGTTTTGAGGGAGGTTTGCAGCAAGCCATGAGCTATTTTAAACTCGCTGTTAGTCACTGTGCTGTGTCACCACAATGAACGGGCTCGTGACTGATATACGACAGCTGACTGGGACCGACTCAGATTTGGCCGGTCGGGAAAATATGGACAGCGCTTTATTTGTGTGGGTGCATGAAATTCATATTTGAAGGGTTGGTACTACTGTTATCTTTGACAGTATTAATGATCGTTGGTGATAGATTTCATTTACAGAGACCAGGCGTTGAAGGTTTTTGCTGACCTGCGGAGCCTCCAGATAGATTATTACTGTGAGGAGGACAGGCATTTCTAGCACCCATTGGAGAAATTATGAACAAGCTTTATTGAGGGACAACTTGATGTTATTTTTGATAACATGAGTACGAAACTTGATACCGTGCCCTGGATTTGTACTCTGTTTGGTTGTAAGGGCATTGCTCTTTAGCACAGATTGACATGCACTGGTGGCCCATCAGCAATACAGGGGGTCCTTTTTGAAGCCCCCATAGGGAGAGTTTTGGGTACTACAAGTGGTGGCTCGCCAATTGTCGTTTTGCCAATTTCCATCTCAAAGTTGAGATTGCATCGATCATAACCATGTGTTATTGGGTATTTTGGCGTCTTGAGGTTCATAGGCCATTAAAGCGTTTACCTTTTAGCAATTTTCTCAACCAACGTCACCAATTATGTCTAGGAGGCATCGCTTTTGGAGGGGCCAAGAGCGGCATGAGAATCTGCGTGGGCATGGAGAGCAACACAGTCAGATCCATCTTACTGCCATGTGCCCTGTGCGGAAGATTGCCAAAGCCATAGTGTCCCTTTGGGGGCTCAGGGAGTGGTGAGGGGAGTTGCAATGCTTCCATATGGCCCCTGTTGTTCGGATTGACAAGATCATGGATTCAGCGTCGTTCAGACAAATACATTGAGTTGGATCGCAGTGCCGAAACCAAGGGCAGGGTCTGAAATGGCCATGCGAATTTGGCTGCCAATTCAAAACCACTGGCCCACCCAAAACCCACGGCAGAAACCCACCAACAAACTGCAAGGTTCAGGCGTTCGCGGATAGCCATGAGCAAAAAAAAAAAAAGGGGGGGCAGTTAATAGGATACCTGTGGGACCAACACGCAAGGTTGTCAAAAGGAATGTAAGTGCAACAAGAAAAGGGCAGGAACAAAACGGGAGCCCGCCAAAAGGACCAAACCTGCGAATAGGTTCAAAACGCGCGGAATGGTAATCATAAGGTAAACGGTACACGTAACAAAGCGAAAAGGGGCCACTGATCAGCGAAGGAGCCCGACTGAAGGGTACAGACCCCAGAAAGCAAGTGATATCCTGCGCCAGTCGCCATAGAAAATGGGGCGACGATATCAATCAACGAAAGAACCGGCTTGATCCTCACCGCCGAGGTAAAGCCGAGTGTTGCGGCCCTGAAGGGCGCCGCTGGTTTCCGAAGCTCGTGGGGTCGCCACGCCCTGCGACTTGGCTGTTGGAGGTCAGCCAGCCCTCTCCACCGATTTCGGTGGGCTGAAGCGGGGCGCTCGTTCCCTCGGATGCGCGGTGGGCCCAGAACGATGGGGATCGTCCCCCGGGGCCTGCTGTATGCGGCGGGTGGTGGCGCAGCCAGTCGTTGGCTCGCTGGTCGCGGAGAGACCAGACAGTGGGCCAGAATGGTGTTACACGATTCACAGCATGCGCGCGCACAAATCCGCATGCGCGATGCCCGATCACGGGTCCATCGCTGTCACATCAAGACAAGACAAGTCAGGTGCACGTTCAGGCACATCGTCACCGTCCACCGTCTACCTACGATCGACCTAATGCCCTCTAATTCCAAGCATCGAACACCCGACCCCCTGGCCCTAAGTGCTACGACTTCAGAAGGCCATATCTTCGCCGTTTCTTAACGGAATCGGGCGTTTAAAAGCTCGTTGGAACCAAGAAGCTTTAACTACACTCCCAAAAGGTCAATTACCCGATTACATAATTTCCACTTCAGAAATGTCAAATGAGCCTAAACCCCAAGCAGCCACGTCATAATACTCCCCCTTGGGGTAGCTTTCGCCCCCGAAAGCACACTATCCCATACTAGTGTCTTCCTCGGGCTTGTCCCTCTTGATCATCTTCTAGAGCTCTCTGGCGTAGGTGAAATTTCCAGCCGGTATCCAGGAGGCATCGTCAATACTCCATCCTGTCCATAACACCAAAAACTCCTTATGCCTCCTGCCACTGGGTCCTGCCCATCTCCATCGCAGCAGCTTCTCAACTTCGTACGGTTCGTCAGCCTCTGGCTCGATCTCGGCGTCATCTGACTCCTGTGGGGTAGACCATCTGGACGATCTGAATGGTCTAAGCAAACTGGTGTGAAAGACGTTGTGAATCCTCCACCCCGCTGGTAGCTTCAATTCGTAGGCCACTGATCCCACCTGACGGACCACAGCAAATGGTCCTACGAACCGTCGCTTCAGTTTGCGAACAGGTGCATTCTTCAACTGTAGATGCTCTGTACTGAGTAGCACCTGTTCCCCACTGTGAAACCTCTGCTCTCTGCGCCGCTGATCGGCCTGACGCTTCTGCCTCTGCTGAGCCTGATGAACTGATTGCATCGCCATTTTGAAGGTCTTCTTCATCCTGTTGACAAAGACGTTGACACCCTCAATGTTGGTCTGGTCTACGTCTTTGATCAGGTCCAACGGGTTCACTGGCTCAAAGCCATAGTTTAGATAAAAAGGCGTGTACCCCGTGGATGGCGATGAGCTGCTGTTGATCACAAACTCCACCATGGGCAAGTATTTCTCCCAATGAGTGACTTCCTGACTGCCATAGATCGTACACCTGAGGACTTGCTCCACCACCCTATTGGCTGCCTCTGTTTGTCCATCTGTCTGGGGGTGGTGAGCGCTGGACATCCTCAGCTTGCTGCCCAAAATCTTCCAGAATTCCTGCCAGAACTTCGACACAAATCGTGGATCTCGGTCACTGACGATCGATCTGGGGATCCCGTGAAGCCGTCCAATCTGTTCCCAGTAGACTCGAGCAGTCTCAGCAGTAGTAATGGTCTGCTGGACTGGTACCAAGTGTACCATCTTAGTAGCTCGGTCTACAACTGTGAGGATCCCATCGTTTTTCCTTTCGCTGACCGGTAGACCCATGATGAAGTCAAGGCTGACATCACTCCATTTTTCTTCTGGAAGTTGCAACGGCTGAAGAAGTCCGGCTGGCAACTTGTGGACACTCTTCTCTGACTGGCAGACCTCACAACCCAGCACAAAGTCTCGTACATCCACTGTGTGTTCTGGCCAGTAGAAATTCTGCTGTAGTTTCTTGAGTGCCTTGTGGTAACCAAGATGTCCCGCATATGGTACTGTATGTATCTCTGCCATGATCTTCTTGCGGGCGTCCTCCACATCTGTTACCACCAATCTCCAAGGTTGCCGGTCCTCGGTGTTGTCCTTCAACTTGATTTCAATGAATCCATGGTTCAATCGGTAATCATGATTCCTGATCCTGGTGACTCGTCCTTGGGCAGATTCCAATTGGTTCAAAACTTCTGCCCATCTATTGTCTTGCTTGTAGCCCTCTTTTATAGAGCTCCTCAAGTCTTCCTCCAGAGTAATCCTGGTGCTGGTCACCAATAAAGAATGTAAAGAATTTTGTTCCCCACTTGCAGCCACCACTGCACCCTCAGGACTGGACTTTTTAAATATTTCATCAAGCTACCTTTTATAGCATCAGCGCGATTCAACTTCCTGAATACCTTGCACAGTACCCAGGTTGTTCTCGGCGGGATAATATCGCGCAGTTTGCGCCAAGCAGTAACTCAAGACTCCATTTCCACACCCTCCTGTTCACTGCAGGCTGGTTGGGCAGGTTTTTCAAGGAGTCATGATCTGTCTGAATGACGAAGTGGCAGCTGGCCAAATAGTGCCGCCATTTCCCGACAGCCCAATTGATGCCCAGCAATTCTCGTTCATATGCACTGTACCGGGTCTCGGCCGGGTTGAGCTTCCTACTCTCATAGCAAACGGGTTGCAG